GAGAGAGAGGGGGGGGGAGAAAGAGAGAGGGGGAGAGAGAGAGAATACATATACCTGGTCTTTGAGTGTGAAAGATTAAAGCCTTTCAAGGTGAAGTTCGCCTCAGCAGAAACAGCGACAGCAAATGGGGTGACACTTAAAATGTTAGATTTTGAGTGATAAGGTAGCTCTAGCATGACTCGACCTATACATCAAACTTGTAGCAATTAGTGGTAGTGACCACCAGGATAACTCCATCCCAAATGATCTAATGAACACCAAGATAATGTGGGCACAATCAAGTGAAAAAAGAAACAGCACCAAAATAGCATGTGCACAAGTGATCAATGTGTGCAAGATAGCATGTTCAAATAAACGAGTTTAAACCAACCATTATATATAAATGCTATCCGATGCTGCACTGTGGCATATATCCATCCTGTTCTCCAGAAATTATCATTCGAGAGTTCCAAAAGCCTCCCTAAGCTAGAGCTGAGATTGCTGCTTAGCTGTACATGACAAGAGTGAAATGAGTAATTTATTTGATAGTTTGGAACAAACGAAGTGAGATACTTCATCTAAAACGAATAAAAATTTAAGTATATACCTCCTCCCACATGGACTCAACCAAATGTAAGTAAATTGTTAGAACAATACAACCAGGCCTAATGTAGCTCTCAATGTCTGTGGGGCTGTGAGACAGCCAGTCAAGGATCTGCATATATAAAGATCATTCAAATTAGGAATCAAGTGGAAAACATATAAGCTTCAGAATTCAAGAATCACATTTAGATTCCTCGATATTCATTAAGAGATACAGTGTGATTTAATGATACCTGCCCCCGCAGTACAAGAGGAAGATCACTAGGGTCCTTATCAAAGAGTTTGAAAACAATCCTATCTGTACGGCTCTGCATTAATAGAAAGGAGAATTTTTTATGCATGTTTTATTCATAACCACAAAACTTTAGCACAAAGACCAGAGAAATAACTTAAGGGCGAAAATATATGAAAAAAATGTAAGATGATTGGTTCGAAATGGAAATCAGTTTTTCTAAGCCAGAAGAAAATCTTGGCAGAATACAGAGCAACAAACACTTTAAATGGAAGCAACAGTTTGTGATGATCAAAAGTGTGAACAACAATAAAACACAGAAATAGTATGAAATATTTTAAGAAAGAGCACGAAGTGTTTACTTGAACATCTCCACTTGAACTAGATGGTGACCGGTCAGATGCTGAATCTGAGGCACCACTCGTCTGAGTTGGACTTATTTGGTGAGGATCATGTACCAAACATGAAGGCCAATCTGGGGAATTGGTCTCGACCATCGTATCCACAACACAATCCTGAGATTCATTGTAGATGCTGTTCAAATCAAAATTATTTGGCTTTACACACTGCTTCTCCAAAGAGGATTCCTGCACAATTATAGGTAACATCGAAGATCCAGCTTGTGCTTCTCTAAGAATTCCCTCCTTTACTGTCCATAGATTCTTACAACTTTCAAAAGGTACAGCTCGAAAAGCCTCACTTGCACAACTTTGTGTCACAGTGACTTTTTGAGGCATCCCTGGTGCAGCTACAGTGACAGCTTGATCATTAGCCCTCACCATAGAATCTTGATAATTAAGGCCCTTGGATGCTAAATCTGTTGGCTGAGAAGGTTTTGAGGACTCTTGACCAGTAGCACAAGAAATGGCATTTGGAAACATAACAGGCTCCTTCTCTGATGATGTTCCACTAGAGGTCCCAACAACATTCTGTAGAGTTTGAGATGTTTGAAGTAGTCCAGCTAGTTGCATCCCATCAAGTGCACCAGCACCAGCAGAACCAGCAATATTCCTCAAAAGTTGCGATAAAAGATCCTGGCCTTTTGTTCGCTCTGAGCTATTTGCTGCAATTATGTAGAAACCCAATCAACTTGCTGGAAGAAGACACACAGCACCCCCACACACACACACAGATACATACGATGGGAGAACTATTAGAATTTCAGTAAGATAGATTAAACAGGTCATAATGACTTCCTTAGAAGTTTACAACAGCTACATTTTTCTGTCTTGTTGGGGATCATATTCCAATGGGAGCTACGTTAACATCGTCAAATCAATGTGAACATTTCCCAATTTCACATCTTACAATGCCAAGGAGAAGAAACACATAAAAATTATGTTGGGAGATTGGGCCTATGGTTCAATCACTCAGCACAATCAACACTTGTCGAAATGTAAGCCAAATGGTGATGGTGTAAACCAAGAGATGAAAATGAACAAATTTGTATGCACTCACAAAAGCCAACACAAGCAAGGAATGATTGGGTGTGCATCATAAAAAGCAGGGTTGCAAACATCTTGAAGTCTACATGGTAATCTTTCTAATATAGAGCATCAAAAGCGTTCCTGATTTTCTACACTGCAATTTGATAAATTAACTAGCATTCTTCCAATGCATATGGCCCTTAATAAAGCGGAATGGCTTAATAGTATTCGTGTAGCCGACCCCAAATAGTTGAAATAAGGCTCAGATGATGATGATTCTGATGCATAGTTGATTTTCAATAACCTTCAAATAATGCAAGAATCAAAGATGGTCAAACTCCTTTCCTTCTTGAAGTTAAAGGCAACAAGAATCCTAAAGCGAGTTCAATCATTATTTTTTAACCTTCTTAATCAAGCAGTTCTTGAAGTTAAAGGCAACAAGAGTCCTAAAACGCGTTCAATCATTATTTTTTAACCTTCTTAATCAAGCAGTTCAATCAAATTTTTTGACCACCATATAAAAGCAGCATGTCTGTGGATGATAACCTTTCAACCAATACTAAATTAATAATCCACCCACCCTAAAAAAAAAACACCCAAAAATTTTGAAAAAAAACAACACCGCAAGCAAAAAACAAAATGCTCACAAAAACTTACAAACATGCTCAGGGTTATTATCAAATAAGTAGAAAATGGTAAATTACATTTTATATATATATATATATATATATATATATATATATATAT